CACAATTTTGGCTGCATCTGCTCCCATCTCTAAGCAACCCAGGCCTTGGATTGAAGGGTGGTGGCCCAAAGACGCCACTTCAGTCACCCGGCTAGTGTTTGTGCTCCGGCCGATGAAGCGAGTTAAAGGGTTAGACAAATGCAACTCACTGAGCAAATAGACCAGAGTGTGCCACACCAGATGTCCAGGAGGAGGCTGGTGTTCCACACCACAGGGAGCATGCTGCACCCCTGGACTGGCCTGGCACCCTCCCTCCAGGATGCCACATGCTGCCCAGGACCCAGGCTGCAGTTGTAGGAATTTGATTTAGGAAGCTCCTAAAGGCAACCCTGAAGACTCCTTTGTCCCCAAAACAAGTCAGTCCTGGCTGTTGGACAGCTAACCTGTCACAGGATTGCCCTTACCTTCTGAGCCCCTACTCTTACAGGAAGAATCACACATGAACCAGGCATAGTGTGCATCACATAATCCCAGCTACTCGGGAGGCTGAGGCAGGAGGATCTCAAGTTCAAGGCTAGCTTTGGCATTTAGCAAGATCATATCACAAAAATAAAATTAGAAAGGGTTGAGGATGTAGATCAGTGGTAGAGTGCTTGCCTAGTATGTGTAAGGCCCAGTGGCCCTCAGAAATCATCCATAAGCACAAACCTCTCAGGCTCTGTGGGGAGGGCAATCAGTCATCTCTTCCCAGACCAAGAGGAAAAGGCATTTTGCCAACTTGGGGGCCCCTCTCCACCAATGGGAGTAATTGGTTGTCTTTATTTAAACTATACCCCATGCCACACAAAACCCCCTGGGACTCAAAAAGTCCCCAAATTAGGATTTCCATGGCAACACATCGCCCCACATTCTCAGGTTGTCAAGGAGTGATTATCTATGGCCCTATCCATGGCAGTTGTAGGAATTTGATTTAGGAAGCTCCTAAAGGCAACCCTGAAGACTCCTTTGTCCCCAAAACAAGAACATGGGTGGGAGACACAAACAGAAAGCTCCATTGTGCTGCTAGCTCCGCATCTCTGGGAGCTGGTCCTGACAGTTCTGCTTTTTAAAGGCCTGGGCTGTGTCAGAATGAGATTCAGCTCTGCTCAGCAGAAGCTCTGGCCAGCCCAGAACACTGCCCAGCACCTCCAGCCTGTCCTCGCTGACCTGCTTCCCCTTCCCCATTTGGGGCTATTCTCAGGGGACCTCAGGTCTCCTGGGAGGCCTTGTAGAATGGAGGAGTGTCCAAGGAGATCCCTCCAGGCAGGGAGAGGAGTGTGAGTGTGAGAGTTTCAAAGCGCCTGGAGAGCTGGTCTGTGCAATTAGAAAATGTGGGAGTGAGTAGAGGGTGTCAGCCCCCCTACCCTCAGGCAGGGAATAGTTCTGTAGCAGTTTCTTGGAGCCTCCAGACCAAAGTCTGCCAAACTTTTTCCATACAGGGCCAGACAGTAAATATATCAGGCGTTTCAGGCCATATGGTCTCTGTCACGACTGTCTAACTGCCACTATAGCACGAAAACAGCCGTAGACAATATGTGTACAAATAGGCATGGGGAGGTTCCATTAAAACTTTGCTTATAAAAACAGGCAGTGGCCTCGATTTGGCATGAGGTGGTAGTTTGTTGACCTCTGCTCTAGATCCAAGAATGGGGACCTTAGCTGTCTGCCTCCCTAAAACATATCCCTGGTAACCAAACACATTAAGTGATGAGCGGACAGTTTTCTTGCCTGTTTGATACCTCCCCTAAGTAGGTGGCCTTTTATCTCCTCCCCATAGGAGGGAGAGCCAGGAGCTGACAGAGATGCTCCTGACACAATCATCTCAGCCTTCACACAGCCCTAAGGGAGGATGAAGAGAGCAAGGTACACTCCCCTGGCCCAATGCCCCTAAGCAGCATATACACAACATTTCCTTGCAAACAATTTCAAGGGAGTGCAGAGCCCTCCTGAAACTTATTCATGAACTATGAAGAGGACTAAAAACCCTAAAGTGAGATCCCTTGCTCTCTCAGAAAGAGCTAGCTCCTTTGTATTTGAAAGAGCTCTTACAAAGCATTAAAAAAAAAAAAAAAAAAAAGGATAAAGAACTCTGCAGAAAAAAATAGACAAATGACACAAAGAAGCAATTCACACAAGACACAAATGACCAAGAGGTGAAAGAATGCTGTCTCATTCAAAATTAAAGAAATTTTTTAAAAATCATGGTATAGTGTCACTTGCCTATAATCCTAGTGACTTGGGAGGCTGAGGCAGGAAGATCAAGAGTTCAAACCGATGGGAGGGGAGAGGAGGGGAAGGGGGGAATGGAAGGATAGCAGAATAAAATAGACATTATTATTGCTGTGGGTATATACATGACTGCATGACCAATGTAATTCTGCAACCTGTACACTCAGAAAAATGAGAAATTATATCCCATCTGATTCAAATGTATGATATGTCAAGATCATTGTACTGTCATGTGTAACTAATTAAAACAAATAAAAAAAATGGAAAAAAAAAAGAGTTCAAACCTACCATCAGCAATTTAGCAAAGCCCTAAGCAACTTAGTGAGACCCTGTCTCTATAAAATATAAAAAAGGGCTAGGGATATGGCTCAGAGGTTAAGCACCCCTGGGTTCAATCCCTAACACAACACAACAAAATAAAATAAAATAGAATAATAAAAATTAGAACATTTTTGTTTTATAATCATGAGAAATAAGAAAAAAAAGAATATGGGCCTATTAGTTTCTAATAAAAGTTTCTTGGACATTGGCTTCAGAGTTCACTTTAAAGGCTTTGTTCAAGAGGACTCACAGTATGGTGCTTTTTATCATCTTTTTTTTTGGCCATGCTGATGGACTGAACACAGGACCTTGTGCATGCTAGGCAAGTGCTCTACCACTGAGCTACATTCCCAGTCTCTATTTATATTATGCTTTATTATGACAAACCATCTTTCTGCATTTTGGAACTTAAATTCCTCAAGTCCCAGGACCATCTCATTCTTCTATCCCTGAAGTACAGACCTGCCATAACAGAGGCCCAGCGTGACTAAAACAATGGGGGTGATGCCAGGTTTTTATTTTCCATCTTGATGAAAGGGCTGGTGGTTTTCACACTATCCAAGAACAAACAGATCCATGACTCCTGTTTCACAATTTACACAACTCAGTGGAATGTGTGTACTTCTGATAGTGCAAACATATTTCTCACAGTTTCGACATTTGTTTTCCTCTGAGGATTTGAGAGAAAGGAAATGTATCTATTTTTCTTTTAAATCTACCTGCTTAAAAAAATAAGAATAAAAAGGCCCAAAATAGTACATAGTAAATCTCCCTGGCACCAGCTGAGGCAAAGCAATCAAGGCCCCATATTTATGTGTGACACATACCCCCACACCCAGAGCATGCCCTGTGCCAGGTTCTTCTCACCTGACACCAACTGCAATGAACTTTTCATGTCTATGAACCTAGGCACAGACAGTTCATCCTTCTCATCAGGACAGAGCTAGCAAAACAAAGTAGAGGAAGGGTGCACAGAGAAGAAATGGGGCCTGGCCTTTGATTCACACAGCCGGAAGGTGGGTCACAGGGATGCCAACACCTTTAAAGATCCTCCCCCAAACCGAAAATCCCCAGCATTCCCTCAAAGCAAAACAAGAGCCCTTCAACAGCATGATTCTTGACTCATTGGAACAAAGAAAAATGAAAGAAAAGAGCGCACTGCAAATAATAATGGTAGGTATTATACACTAAAAGCTTTTTCATGGGCGAACTGAAGCAGGTGAGATTTCCCTGTTGGACAGAAGTCTCTCTGAAGAGTCTATCACCCTTACTTCTTTCCCAGGGGCCAGCTCTGAATAGCACTCTTGCCAACCAAAGAGAGCTCCCTTCTCTCTGGGGAAGACTTTTTCGTTCTTTCTTTTTCTTTTTCAATATATATATATTCATTGTAGATGGACACATACCTTTATTTTATTTATTCATATACAGTGCCTCACGAGTGCTAGGCAAGCTCCCTACCACTGAGCTACACTCCCAGCCCTTTTTTGTTCTTCCTGTTTTCTGGGTTTCTTTCACCTGCACCTTTCTTCATCCCCCATCTCAAAAAGAAGCACATTTTGTGGCACCCTGGTGCTCCCAAGAAGGGACTACTCAGCATCCTGTGGAAATGTCTCCCTCCAGTCAGGCTGTCTGTGCCCTGGCACTTGGAAAACTAAGAGGAAGGCCCAACAGGTACTCCTCTGAGTTTTTCATTCAATTCTAGAGAAAGGCAAAGGCTGGGGCTGGGGCAGTTCCAAGGGAGGTTTGTGTTTGGGTTGCACAGTTAGCCAGAGCTCCTGGACACCCTGGAGGTGGTAACCATGGAAAATAGAAGAAAAATGGGTGACATCTCTTTTTCTACTTAATCCTGTCTTCCCTGGGCACATGGCTAGTAAACTGCTTCCTCAGACCAAAGCCAAGGCCAGAAGGTAGGGGAGCCCTGCCCTGCTGTCTTCAGGACCTCCCAGCTTGGGAGGCCATGACTACATTTGTTGTCAGGCCACTGCACCCAATGCCTCCACTGCTTGGGATGTCCAGACATATGCAGACAAATGGATGGCAAAGAGGAAGAAACAAAGCTAGCTCAAATTCATAAGCAGGGCTGGAGATGTGCTCAGTGGCAGAGCACTTGCCAAACATGCAAGAAGCCCTGGGTATAACCACCAACATCCCAAAACAAACAAACAAACAAACAACAACAACAACAAAAAAAAAAAAAACAGCCCGGCATGGTAGTGCATGCCTGTAACCCCAACAATTTAGGAGGCTGAGGTAGGAAGATTGAAAATTCTAGATCAGCCTGGCAATTTAGAAAGATCCTGTCTCAACAACAAAAAAGGGATGGGGATGTAGCTGGTGGTAAAGCACCTCTGGGTTCAAACCCCAGTACCAAAATAAAGAAAGAAACAAATCAATGAAAAAGGTCATAAGCAGATTACTGAACTAAATATCTTAAAAAAGAAAAGAAAAGAAAAAGAAAAATGAGTACTTACCGTTAATGAGGTGAAGGTCATGCACATCCCACCAAAGCCATTCAAAGCCAGGGCGATAAAGATGAGGACTGAGAGAGCTGTAGGAAAACAGAGGCATAAGCAGGAAAGCACAGCTAAAGTCCAGGGAGGCCAGGGCCCGGCCCAGTGCCCCACTCAAATAGGCTTCTAATAAATGCAGGCTGGACAAAGGGTTAGTGCCTAATACCTGGGGAGCCAGAGCGGCCTCTTCCTCCCCCTGCTCCTCTTGCCTGCCTCACAGAGCTTGAGCTCTTCTTACAAAAGGTAAACACTTATCCTCTTTTCTCCATTAACTTAGCAGCAAGCAAGAGGCCTAAAGGCACAGCTTCAAAGAAACCAAAAATCTAGGTTCCTGAAAACCAGTAGATAAGCCTGGTTAAAACTCTGATAAGGTGGCCCACGCCTTTAATCCCAGCGGCTCAGGAGGCTGAGGAAGGAGGATTGTTGAGTTCAAAGCCAGCCTCAGTGGGGTAGGGAGGGGGAGTGTGGGAGGAATAGATGACCTCTAAATAGGGCAGAGGGGTGGGATGGGAAGGAAAGGGGTATGGGGTTAGAAATGATGGTGGAATGTGATGGACATTATTATCCAAAGTACATGTGTAAAGACATGAATTGGTGTGAATATACTTTGTATACAACCAGAGATATGAAAAATTGGGCTCTATATGTGTAATACGAATTGTAACGCATTCTGTTGTCATATTTAAATWAAAAAAAAAAAAAGTCAGTCTCAGCAAAAAGCAAGGTACTAAGCAACTCAGTGAGACCCTGTCTCTAAATAAAATACAAAATGGGGATGTAGCTCAGTGGTGGAGTGCCCCTGAGTTCAATCCCTGGTACCCTCCCTCACCCCCCCCAAAAGAGACATAAAATTCAGGTCAGATTTTTGATGCTTGTTCTAAACATTTTTTTAATCGATAGCTCCATCTGAATAAAGATGGGGAACAGGTGGCTTCTAAGCCACCCTTAAAGTACTGGCCTGAGCTGCCTGAGAGGACTCAGCTCATGACTTCTATACATACAGAGGACCATGTCCCTGCAGCTGGCCTGGCTCTTAGAGCTTATCTCTCAGGTTGGCATCAATGAGGCCATCAGAGACTAGCCTGTGATGAGATGGGAGCTTCACACTCCGAGAGCTCCTCTCAAATTTCCTTTTAAGATGATAACTTTCTTACCTGGCTGCCCATCTGAGATAAGGAACTGAGTAAAGCCCTAACAGGTAGCCCCTCTAACTTCAGCAGGGAGCACCAAGACCAGAAGCATCAACGCATAGGTGGGCCAGGGAGCACCTCTGGACAATCTCTCCCCAGTCCCTGAAAAAAGGGTGGAGGAAAGGCAAACTCACAGTTTGGGTTACTGGCTCCATATGCAATCAGTAAGCAGGAGACAGCAAAGCAGGCACTAAAAGCAAACAGAAAGAGTATGTTAGTTATTATTACATTACTGATTGTTATTATTATACATTGTTATCCTTTGTGGGTATTTACTATGTGTCATTTTAGAGCACTAACAATCATCATTTAATCTGATTTAACAATTCCGAGGGCTGGGGTGTTACCCAGTAGTAGAGTATATGCTTAGCCTAAATGAGGTCTTGGGTTCAATCCCTGAGGGGGGGGGGGTGTGATTCTGAGAATAACTGGCCCAAATTTTCTTAAAAGGAAAATAAATCTCATTTAAAAAAAAAAAAAAAGAAGAAGAAGGAAAGGAAAACAAATTTCTCCAAGGTGTCCCATCTTTTAAGAGGCTAAGCTAAGCTTGAAGCCCCCAAACCAGATTTTATAAACACCACTGTCCGGCTCCTGCCACTCCTGGACCCCAGAGGGCCAATGCTCTGAAACAAGAGAGGATACAATTCATTCCTCAGGTTCCTGAGCCCATTCAGCCAGGGTCAGACAGACCCTGGGCAGGACACAGATGACAGATGACTGAATGGCTGTGCCAGATTACTTGTCACTTGACTCTATCCTGGCAATTGATGCCTCTTCAGCCTCAAAGAGCAAATGGAAGTGATCTCCCACCACCCACCTCATGGTTATGGGCCTTGCCCACCACAAACCAGTGCCCTATAAGGTGATCATTCACAGGGACAATTGGATTGGGAAGGACCCTGGCCTGATAGGGCCAGCTAATATGAACTTCCTGAGTCTGAGAGATGGAGCTTTATACACTAGAGATACATACCCCAGGGGGTGCACAAGATGATCCACGAGGGTACTTATCTATTGGGACTTCCATTTTGCGATTTTTAATGTCATTCATTTTAATTAATTAATAAATTGTATTTATTTTCTATTTTTTGTAGTGCTAGGATCAAACCCAGTACCTTGCACATGCTAGGCAAGTATTTTACCAGTGAACTCCACTCCCAGCCCTTATAATTTTGTACATGTATTTTAAAGCATATAAAACTAAGAACAGTGTCATGTGGGCTGGGGGCTACTTCTCAGTAGTAGAAGGCTTGTTTAGCATGGATGAGATCCAGGGTGCAACCCCCAGCACTGCAAAGAACAACGAAAATAATGATACGTGTGTATATCATTTGGAATTGATGTGCTTATATTGTACATGTTCAAAATCTTTTCTTCTGAAAAACGTGTTTTCAATGACAAGCAATTCCAGATCCTCCCAGGTAGGCCAGGGTCCTGTGCTTGCTCTATGCAGTACTGGTGCACTATGAGGATCACAGTACCTAATGATTCAGTGTCAGATGAGTAGGATCCCGCTGTGGGAAGGCGTTTAGGGAACGCATACATCAGTGCATCTCACAGCAGGTTCTAGGATTCCATGGTGCACCTGACAGCACATTTCAGGATTCCCTCCAGCAGGGAATGCAGCCCAGGACGTCCACCTGCCCACCCTCTTCCCTCAAGGAACCTGCACTGACCTGCCCAGCAGCCTGAGCTTCCTTGGACCATACTTGTCCATGATGATGCCCAGGGGCAGGGTGATGGCACTGAGCAGGAAGGAGCCCACGGTGAAGGCCAAATTTAGAATCTCGTCCTGAGCCTTGCAGCTGAGCCAGCCATTCATCCAGCTCACCTCCTCGTGTTCTGGTGCTGCGGTACTCCCCACTGTGCCATTGGTGACATTTTCTGAGTAGGCAGAGGAAAGGAACATGACAGGAAATCCCAAAGTGCAGAAGAATGGGTCATGGCAGAGACTCCCAAAGATCAGAGGGAGAGATGCATGTTCAGTCACCCCAGTGGGAATATCAGAGCTAGCTTTGGGCCCCTGGAGGATCCCAGTGACCCCTACAGCAGGCTTGGACATACATTTGGCCCAAGATCCCTAAAGCAATAATGCAGAGGTTCTTAACTTTTGTAGGATCATACACCATTCAAATAATTCAATAAAGAAAGCTATGCAGCCAGGTGTGGTGGTGTACACCTGTAGTCCCAGTGGCTCAGGGGGCTGAGGCAGGGGGATCTCAAGTTCAAAATCAGAATCAGCAACTTAGTGAGGCCCTAAGCAACCTAGCAAGACCCTGTCACAAAATGAAAAATAAAAAGGGCTAGGGATGTAGCTCAGTGATTAAGTGTCTCTGGGTTCAATCTCTGGTACCAAAAGAGAAAGAAAGAAAGAAAACAAAATCTTGTCCACAGTTTTGGGGACACCCGTGAATCCCAATTAGGAGTCCCATTCCAGAGTATCCTATACTCTATGACAGTAGATCTTGGGACCCAGCCTTGGTTGGGGCCCCATACTGACTAGAACCTTTTCAGCAGCTTTGTTTAGCTAGCCTAGAGGCAGAGCCTAGACCACTGTGGAAGGACAAGCTGCTGGTCTCACTATAATGCCCTGGTTCCCCTCAGTTAGTATGGAGAAACTGGGCCTCCTTGCCTCCTTTGTTGGCAAGTACAATTGGCATCTCAAACATACAACCAGCCATATGCCATCTCTTCCTCCTGGAAAAGCATAAACTACTACATATACATAAGTATAATAGCATCTAACTCTAGAGTTTTCAAGATGATCCATGAGAAAGTATATATACGCTTAGGAAAGTGCTTTTGAAGAGTCCACAGTTCTCTGCTTTCACTTGCTGAGGAACACGTCTTTCTTATCTCACTGGGGTTACTGTACTGCTGTCCCCCTCGACCACACCCACACTCTGTTGGGTGCTGAGCCCCCAACCTGGTGTGTCAGCCACACCTGTGTTGTAACTTCAGCCCTTAAGGACCCCCTCCAAAGTCCACCCAGCACCCAAACAACACAAAAAGGGAGGAAAAAGTGCCGTGGCAGCTGAGGATGGAAAGACAGGGGCCAAGCTGAGAATGCAGCTGAGGAAGTCCTTGCCAGGACTGCTAGTCAAGAGATGCTGACTACTGTGCAGGAGCAGGGGCAGACTGATTAGCTATGAGGTTACGCTGGAGAGTCAAGGAAAATCTCGCTCAGATAACGGCCTGCCTCCCAATTGCAGCCCTCTGGCGCCAGGGCTATAAAGCTGAGGTCTGCAAAGGCTTGCCCAGGCCTCTTGGAGCTGCCCCAAGGTCACTGAAAAGAAAGCACTTGGGGGTGATTCATGCCCCAGACAACCTCTGACCAATAAGCCCTGCTGGGGGCATGTTGAGATGGCAGTCCTGGAACCTGGCTTCAGGGTTCCAATTTTGGTCCCTTTACTTCCTACTCTATAACCTTAGAGAAGTGATTTAATTTTGCTCTGTGTCTCAGTTTCCTTGACTGTAAAATGGCCATAATATAATAATAGCATCTACCTCTAGAGTTTTCAGGAAGATCAATGAGAAAGTCCAGACAGCGTTCTAGAGCTCACACAGGCATAGAAAGTGTTCGTAACAACCAAAAGCTGGGTGCACACCTATAATCCCAGGGGCTGGGGATTCTGAGGCAGCAGGATCACGAGTTCAAAGCCAGCCTCAGCAATTTAGCGAGGCCCTAAGCAACTCAGCGAGACTCTATCTCTAAATAAAATATGAAAAAGGACTGGGGATGTGACTCAGTGGTTAAGTACCCCTGGGATCCATCCCCAGTACCAAACAAAAACCCCCCAAATGTTGTTTTTATTCTTACTGGAGGCTTGGGGGGGGGGCGTTAGGGGTAATGGTGCAACTAACTGCCTAGCAGCAGAGCTGGTCACAGTGACAGGAAACCACAATTCTATAACTGCGAGTGGCTTGAATAGGTGTCTAATCTCCCACTGGGCTGCGAGCCCTGAGGGCAGGACTGTGCTCCGGTTACCCCTGGTCCCAGCACCTCACTAGGCTCTGGCCACAGAGGTTGTTTACTGAATGAATGAAAACAATGGAACTGGATGACAACACTCAAAAGGATCAAGAGGAAAGGAAATAGGACTTGCAGAACCAAGTCAAAGAAGAGGGGATTTAGTGAGATTACAGGCACAAAGTTAACTCCCTGAAACCACAGAAACAAAACCTAACAAGCCAGAGCCCTGCCCCTGCCACTTTCTCTCAATTTTCTACTGAGTACACCATCCCAGCAGCCAAAATTCATGGTGAGGTCCCCTGAGCCTGTTAGGATGCAGAATAGTTTTAAGCCAATGGATCACACTGCTGAGCAGCTCCTGGAAGGCTGAGTTGCCACACAGGTGGGTGCTGGTTTCAGGTGTCAGCTCTGCGAGCAGCAACAGGAACTGGTCCTCCGTGGAGGGACAGGGCCACCACATGCAACAACCATTTCCAGCTCAATGTGCGGATATGAGCAAATCAGCATGGATGGGACAGAGTAGTCGGTAGCAAGCATGCCCCAGGGCCTGGATTGCCAGTCTGTGGTCATGGCCATGCATGGTCAGGGGCCAGTTACTGCACCTGGGGATATGGGAAATTTCAGGGCCTGAGGTCCACAGGATCTGCAATTATAGGAAGCCATGGGGGAACAAGGAACAGAGGGGCAAGGCATCACTGCCCACAAGGAGAGAACTAGCCCCCAACCCCCCAGTACCCTCAGAGAGGAGCCACAGCTGGATCCCTAAATCCATGACTTCCCTCAGCAAGAGACAAGAGATGGGACGGGTGTGGTGGTGCACACCTGTAATCCCAGCAGCTCAGAGATTGAGGCAGGAGGATCACAAGTTCAAAGCCAGCTTCAGGAATTTAGCAAGTCCCAAAAAACTTAGTGAGACCCTGTCTCAAGATTAAAAAAAAAAAAAAAAAAAAAGGGAAGGAGAAAGATAAGAGATGGAAGATAAAATCCCAAGAGATGGATAGGGGTATCTCTCTGTAGTGGAATTGCTCACCCAGCATGAGTGGGCTCAATCCCTTAGATTCAATCCCCAACAAACAAAAAGTCCCAAGGCAGTCTCCCTGACATGTTAGGTGTGGGCATAGGAGTAGAAGCATCCTAAATTGTTTAGAGATCTGAATAACCCAGTAGCTAGACAGGGGGCTCCCCAAGGAGAGGAGCTAGGGAGGAGGTGAAGGTATGTCCTTCCCTCTTTCATCCTAGAGCATCACAGAATAGGGACCTGCATTTTGGTCCACCAGCCTTCTTTTCTTAAACAAATCCCTGCCAATGGGCCACCTGGCCTCCACCCCCCTGCCTCAGGCAGTAAAAAGCCCAATGCCAGATGAGCCTGGCAGTTGGGGGACTTAGTGGCCTCACTTGCCTGCCCAGGGAGCAAMGCAAGAGTATTCTTGTTCCTGGAGGGAATTAAACCTTCTGTGAGTCCAGGAGCTTTGTTGGCAGTAAACAGCCCACATGAATAATCTCAGCCCCGACAGATGCCCGAAACATCAYCACACGCAGGCTATCAGGAGAGAGATAAACAGATCAGCACCCAGGAAGTGCCAAGTTGCAGGGTGCCGCCCTGGTCCCAGCCTAGATCTCAGCCCCCACCCAGCCCAGCCTACGGGGTGCCTCACCTGCACCTGTTTATTAAACAGATGCCTCCTCAGTGGGTGGCCAGAGTGGCCTAGCCCAGCTGAGGAAGGTGAGCCAAGGAGACAGGCAAGCAGTTGGTGTGGCAGAATGTGCCGATGACAACAGGATGAAGGCTACTTAGGAGACCCAGGGCCAAGAAAGAGAGAACAATGCCCCGCACTGTTGAGCCCAATTCAGAAGACACACAAACAAAATCTTCAAAGAAAAAGCTGGGGAGGAAAGAGGGAGCTATGACCCTACTCAGGCTCCCCTAAGTCTCCCTGGGTCAAAGTGGCTCCTTTCCCTTTTGCCCCAGTGAAAGAAAGAAAGTGGCAAGCCTCCAGAGCAGCTCCTCAGATGATGCTCCAGGGAGCCAAGGAGCTGGAGGCTGGTGGCCCTCTGCACTCCTGGGGTCAGCCTCTTCCCTGGCTGGCTGCTTTCTTCTTCTTCTCCTTTTTTTTTTTTTTTTGGTACCAGGGATTGAACTCAGGGGCACTCAACCCCTGAGCCACATCCCCATCTCTGTTTTATATTTTATTTAGAGACGGGGTCTCACTGAGTTGCTTAGCGCCTCAGTGTTGCTGAGGCTGGCTTTGAACTCGCGATCCTCCTGTCTCAGCCTCTGGAGCTGCTGGGATCACAGGCACGCGCCACCATGCCTGGCTGACTGGCTGCTTTCTGAGCCCCACTCCAGTGTGGGATGCCTGGGCAGCCCTGTTTTGATGGTACCTGCCCTGGGATCTCCTGTCTCCAATCCTTAGTCTATCCGGCAACAGGAAGCATCATCTCAGTCCAGCAGGAGAGATGTGGGTGAGAGGTCAGCTCAGTCACAGAGCAAACAAGAAGCAGGACGTTCACTCAGAGGGCCGAACCCCCTTGGTATAGTCATGGCAGTAGCAGCCTCCTTCTGCAGAGTGCCTGTGTGCGCTGGCCACAGAGTTCAGGGGTATTCAACCCCTGGGTCATTTAGCGCCCTCCCACTCTGACCCCATATTCCTTCCACATGACTCTATGGGGAGTTTCAGCACAGGTCAGTCACTGGCAGAGGGTCTTGGGAGAGGCTGGACTTGAATGCAGGCTGTCAGAACCCAAAGCTCTTGCTCTTAACTTTTGGGCTATGCTGATGCTGTCCTCTTGGGTTAGAGGCAGCCTGTATCTCAGGAGAAAATGCTGAAAGAATGGAACTGGGAAAAATCTGTCACACAGTGTCGGGCAATACCAGGTGTCCCTCCATGTTGTCTAGTGAGACCTAGTGGTGTACACCTGTGATCCCAGCTCCCTGGGAGGCTGGCTGAGGCAAGGAGTTTGAGGGTTCAAGGCGAGTCTACATAACTACTCAAAATAAAAAAGTAGCTCAGTGGCAGAGTACCTGCCTACCATGCATGAGATCCTGGGTTCAACAATCCACACACACACACTACACACACACACACACACACACATATATACACACACCCCAAATCTCCTAGGAGGTCACTGAAAGCCACCCCCAGACTGTTAAACTTTCATGGACTACCAAGAAGCCAGAGGAGACCAACAGATACAGGGGAGAGAAATCAGATCATGAAATGAGGAGGAGGAAGGTTGGGCTGCTGCTAGCCAAGGGTCCTAGCTCTTCTTTGTGACACACTCTGAGGCTGTGTGCACCAGTCTCTAACCCCTCTTACTGGTTCTAATGGGATTGTCTTAAAAATTCAAAATAAACCAGGAATGGGCTGGAGGTGGAGCCCAGGTAGAACCCTTGCCGGCAGGTGTGAGGCCCTGGATTCCATACCCAGCACTGTAAAAAAACAACAAACAAACAAGCGAGAAAAAAGTAAAAACAGTCGCATATACAATGATAAAAGTGAAAGGTTAGCTGGGAGTGGTGGCACATGCCTGGAATCCCAGTTACGCAGGAGGCTGCAGCAGGAGGATTATAAATTGGAGGCCAGACTGGGCAACGTAGTAAGATATTGCCTCAAAATAAAACGTAAAAAGAGTTGGGGATGTAGCTCTATGGTAGAATGCCCCAAGTTCAATCCCAGTAACATACACAAACACACAAACYACACACGTGTGCAAGTGCAAAATGTTAGACTGTTGAAAGATGTCAACCACTGGGCTGTGAATATGTAAGAAGCTCATAAAAACAGAAGGCCCTGAAGCAGCAGGGGACTCTCCTGTCCACATCTGTACCCCCACTTGGCCGGGTGGGGACCAGGGCTGGCTCTGCTTCCCTGAGGGGCAGAAGTCTTTCTGCCCTTTTCCCTACCACCACAGGCACAGCAGCCATATAGTCAAGAGCTCAGAACCTGGGTCTGCCTTCAGGTTTATGGCTGGGTGGTTCCTTCCTCTAGCAGAGGCCATGAAGATTTCCACTTCACAGCCCTCATTCCACCCAACACCCAGCACCCAGCACACCCTCCACAATTTCTAAAAGCTCCAACGAGTCCCCCCTCCTCCACCTCTATGGCTTCTTCCTTGAGAATAAAACCAAGTCTCCCAAGTGACCTCCCAGACCCTACAAACTCTGATGTCTCCCCATGTCACCATTCGTCTGCTGTCCCAGCCTCTCTTCTCCTTTCCTCCAAGATGTGGTCTGCCCCAGGGCTCCCTGCCTCCTCCTCACCCTTCAGGTTTCCTCTTTAACATCGGAGAAGCTTCCTACCGATCACAACCAAATTCCCATCATTGATTTCACTCTCAGCACCCTGTGCTCCATGGAGTCTGGTTCTCATGAGTGGCTCACTCTCACCCCCAGTACAGCACCTCAATAAATGTTTACTAATGTGTGGTTGGTGAAAAAGGAGACTGAACTTCCACAGGTAGCTCCATCCCCCTGAGCTGACCCTGTCAAAGTGGGCCACTGTACAACCGAAAAAAATCAAAGAAAGAGGTCGGGTGTGGGTGGCTACAGTGTCCATCTAGAGGCTAAAAGGACACAACATTGGGAAAGTCCCACTCTTCCCAGGATGGGAAACTAACTGGTCTTCTGTCCACATTAGGGGTTTTACGGTGGTATCCAGCTGCCAACATCTGCCTGGTGGATATTACACCAAGTTCATCCAATTCCCAGCCCCATCCCTGTCACTTCTGATTGTCTGGTGGGCAAGGCAAAACAAGTTGAGGGACAAAAGAGAATTCCTTCTCCCACCTCACCAAGCTGGAACCCAACACCRTGTCCATAGCCAGATTCTGGCTGCAGTCCCAAATAAAGGTTCCGGGAACCTTTTAACAGGTTCAGGCAAATTTTCTTTAGAGAACAAACTCCAACCTCAATCCTGAAAGCAACAAAAAAGCTGAGAAATTTGCATCTTAATGAGCTGTACACTGGTCAACTCTTCAAGTCTAATTCAATAAATTCAGTAAATGGCCTTCTCTACAATGCAGCCATCCACCAAGTTTGAAAATGTTAGGCCTGAGTGGAAACCTTGACCTTAACTTTGCCAGGCACTCCAAGTTAAGGGAAGCACAAGGGTTTCTGACTCTGAAAGGTTACAGGGATTCCAAGATGCAAGGAGCAGGGAGGCCAGGGAGATAAGTTGTGAGGAATCAGCAGGCTTCCCCCAAGAGGATGCTAGGTCAGCGGGTTTGCCAGATAATCAGAAAAACCAAAATCAGATGCAGGAGCAAAGAAACAGGATAAGAAGTTGATGTTCAACCCACAATCCTGACCCTTCACCTTCACTTTGGTGTGTAGGAATAACCTGTCGTCAAGTCTCTCAAGGACTTAAATACCAACTCAGCACTGTGTTGGCACAATCTCTGGGACTCCTCCCACTGAAAGGAAAGAAGCCAAGGTTGCAGGAGGAATGAAGTGACCAGCCCCATGCTGCCAATACCATAAAATAAATCAGTGAACAATCTGTGAAAAAAAAAAAAAAAACTAGAATCTGACCTTTCTCACACCACAGTGGGGTAAAAAATCTGACTGCAACAGTCTCTGGTCTGGATGAGTTACTAACAGCTTTGTCAAGGGATGATGATTTTCGTGTGTGTTTAAAACCCTCTCTGTACCCTCAAAGAGAGGAAGAGGCAAACAGTCCAACCTGTTCCTTTCAGAAGAGTCATTAATCTCCTAACATCTCTAGGGCAAAACAGAAAGCTTGTTCAGAGAACAAGGTCTGACTCTCCCATCTCCCAAGATTTCTTGCTGATGTGGGGAAAGGCCTGCCAAGAACCCTTAGGCTATTAGGAAATATTTCTGAGTGGCTAAAGGCTAAAGGTTGGTTATAAATGATATACTTTCTGTCCTCTTCTAGGCAGCCTTTGCATTCCCTCTCTTTCTCTTGCCCTTAACTTCTGCTAATTCTCCATAGACACTCAGACACTCAGGAATATTCTGGACAGATCAGAGAAGGGAAAGAGGGGGGGATCTGACACAGGGTAACAGGCAGTGCAGGCTGGTCCAAATCTTTCTCTTCCTGCTAAGAACTCTGAAAACAAAAGAAGCACTAGTGGCAATGCTGGGGGCACAAATCTAGGATATCTCCATCAGAAGGAGCTCAAGCACTGGAGAGAGACATTATGTGAGTTCAACTATTATGTAGCCTCTGTTGGGATCAGGAGAAGGTAGAAGGAAGCATTTCCTAACACAGTTGCCTAAGAAGGAAGGTAGAAATTGGGAGCTTCTTTGGCTGAACCTATTGACCTGTAAGCAATTAAGGTGGGAAGGTATGACCTTAGGGGAAGGGGCAGAGGACAGACTTCATGTACTGCAAGCATCCTCAGCCTGCCTTCTGCAACACCAATGGTGGAGCAAAGAGAAGGGAGCAAACCTAGCATCGTTTCTATAAATGTCCCCCTTCCTCTTCCTCCCCATGGGGTTGGAAGGCCACTGAGATGTTCTCATTGCCCGTGGGAGGAAGTGGCCTTTGGAGAATCATAAAGCAGCAAAAATAGACAAGAAATCGTATCCGGCAAGCCCTTAGAAGACTCCATAATGGCCTGACTGAAAAAAAAAAAAAAAAAATCTAGATTCTAGATGAAACCTCCTTGGGGTGGAGGCAAAGCCACTTCCTCTCTCTCGCTGCACCCCAGTCCCTAAATCAGGAGTTCCTCTTTCTCATAACCACGGAGCAACATGTTTATTGCAAGGCCAGCAATGTTCCAGGCACAGAGAGGACGTAAGTCCAGTTCCTAGCTAGTAGAAAAAACTCCTGGATGTGACAGTTTTGGGTCTATGGTAGTCTCCGGCATGGGCAAATAACAAGATTGGTCTGAGCCTCAGTTTATTCATCCATGAAACGGGAAAATAATAACACGTACCCAGCAGAGCTAGGTTAGGATCAAATAGGCCTTTGGAAACCCGGGACGCTCTGCGCAGCGAGGGGGGCATTGCTGGCCAGGTCTTCACTACCATCCGCCCTCTCCCAAAGACCCCACTCCAGGAACCGTACCCAGCGCAAGGCGTCCATCTCACCTGGTTCAGTACATAGGTAGGAGTAGAAGCCCTCCGACTTCAGCATGATGAGCAGAGAGCCCCAGCCCAGGAGGACTGCCGAGAAGAGGAGGTTTTCCAACACCGCGGTGCAGGCCATCCACCAGCGGCGCCGATGGGCAGTGGCCAGGGTGGGTGCCATGGTGCAGCGCGGCGCGGCAGCCCGGCTCTGCAGCCACCTGCGCACAGACCTCGGCGTCAGCGCGGGCCCTACCCAGTCCGTACGGCCGCCCCCGACCGCTGTCCCAAGGCGGGGAGATGGTCACTCCTCCGCGGCCCTGGCTATAGGTGCGTGCGGAGAAGCAAGCAAGCCCCAGCCCTGTCCCAGACCTGGGCCAACCCCTCAATCCACGGCAGGCTCGTACCACACTGCCCTCAGCTACTCTGGAGCCTCCCTGGCCAGGCAGAAAGACTTCTTCCTCAGCGCATTCCGAGGTAAACTGAGGCACGGAGGCAAGAATGGACTTAACGCATGCTCAAGGACGTGGAATTAGTCCTAACCCCCTCAGGATTGACATAGCTAGCCCAGGGGCCGGAAGGGGGAAAAGCTTAAGGTATGGCCACCTGGGTAGGGGCATACCTGAGTGCTGCCACTCCCAGGGAACCTGACGAGCTCCSGTCCGCCCGCCCGCACTCAAGACCCTTCCCCAGTGCTGTTTCTTTCAACCACAGGATCAGCGCACCGAGCCCCGGAACGGCCCGCCCACGGAGCGCTCATTGGCCTGACCGCGCAGGAACTGCCGCACCATTGGCCACTGTCTAGGTCGCTAGGCGCTGCGGCCACGCGAACCCCGCATGGGAGAGGCGAAGCCGGTTCAAACCGGCGGCGCGAGCCTGCCGAAGAGCCCCCATCCCGGGCTGTTACCTCGGCAATCAGTCCGTTTCCATAGAAGCAGACCCCGGCCCCTCCATCCCTCAGCTCCCTCCCCGGTTCTTAATCTATTCCCTGGCGGATCCTGTATCCAGTTTCTTCCCTCTCATATTCACAAATTTTCTAAACCCCTTCTTGTGCGGCTTCTGACCCCCCACTCCCTGGCCTGGGACCCGGATCCYCGGGGTTCAGCTCACCCAGCTCCTACTGATGTGTGTCGGGCCCGCCCGGCGTTTTTTCTGCCCTCTTTTATTCCAGCCCTTTTATTCCGACCCTAAGATGAAAACACTGCTGCGTGCTGATTGGCTGAGTGGGGGCTGGAAACAGGCGTTGACCAATCATCATCCACCCGCCCGCCCCCCGGCAAGCAGAAGCCGGTTCCGGCCGGACTTGAAGACAAACAAGAGAGTTGGGGGGGCCTGGGGCAGCTGTGGGCCTTGTCTTGACTCTGCTGTTTTAAAGTGGAGCCGGAGCCAGGCCGGGAACCCCCGGGACATTGCTCCACCGCCTCTCCAGAGCCCCACCCGGAGCCCTGACCCTGGGCTGGGTCGTCAGCTAGGCGTTCCCGCGCTCCTCGGACTTCCCCAGCTGCGTGGCGGTCGCCTCCGATCTCGCACTCCGCTCTCCTCTGACCCGCTAGGTAGTCTCCAGCTCCCTTGCGCCCTTAGGCTTCACGCGTGGATGCTGTGACTCCGCGCAGGTCGTTTCACTCTCGGAAGTCCCCACTTGCCTCCTTCCCTCGCAGCGATGTTGTCCCGACTTCCTCAGGCTTTGTATTCTGGTTCCTCGCTCTCCTGCCTATGGTGGTCCCCATCCAGGTGTAGTCTGTGGGTCTCGGGTCTTCGGACCCCTCTTCCCTGCACTCCTTATTCACCGATTTCTTGCCCTCTCCTAGGTGCCATCTGCTGGGTCCATAATAGGTATCCCTTGAGGATCTTAAAGCAGGAGTTGAGGTCTTATCGGTCCAGTGTTAGGACATTGTCTCTCTGGTCCTCCATTCAGACTCTGGAGCTTCCATTCGAATTCCCGCTTTCCTTGATCCCCTGGGTGGCCTAACTCAGATCATTTTTGTGCTACCTGATCCCGAACATCTCTTTCGGGTATGGGTCCTCTCAGCAGAGTGAGCCCTGGGCAATGCCAAGCTGCTAGTATCTATGTGGTCTTTGTGCGAGGGGTCGCCCGGGATTAAGAGTGCTTTGGCCTCCCTGAGCAGAAGAGCCGCCCCGAGGAACTGCTGGATTCTAAGGGTTCTGCTGTCCGGCAGGGTTTCCTGACCAGAGGCACTAGCCTGACCTTGGAAAACCCTGTGTTCCCCAGAGTCTGTGTACTCCGGGAGCTGGCTCAATATCCCAATGCTATAGGAGCCCCAGTAGCCTCCTATTCCGCTTCCCCCAGTCCCAGTGCGCCCTCTGCTGCCGTGAACTGCCGCTGGCCTCCCTGCAAGGACATCCTCTCCAGCACAGTGCTGGTTGGTATTGTTGGTTTGTGCCAAGAGGATCCTGGCTGATTACCTATTGGGTTACCCACCCCATAGATTCTTATTCAAGGTTTCCACCGCACCTGACAGCTCTCCCTTCTTTCACTCGCCTTCCTTTAGCCAACTGCCTGAAGACTCTCTCCAGACCTCAAATAAATCTTTTAATTCACTTTCCATGGCTAGGGATGTGTACAGGAGGCCCTGGGATCAATCCCCAACATCACCAAAATAATTATTCAGTTTCTCCCTCAAAACTATGCCACTCCCGATCTCCCTTAAATAAGGTAAATATAGTGAACCATCCTTTCAACAAACATTTGTTAGGTACTTGCTATGACCAGACCCGTACAGCCGTATCTCTTAAATATTTAATCTGTCCATTTATATCCCTAGCACACAATCATACAACTCACATCCATTCCCCACCCGATCCAGTAAACTGTGGGAAATGCAAATAGGACCTCTGCTAAAATTTTTCAGAAACTTTACCATTTGATCTGCAAGTTGAAGTTCACATTCACAATTTTACCCATATGGGCTCCTCTCCACCAACACATYTTTTTCTTCTTTGGGGCTGTTTGACCTGCCTGGTCTTAGGTGCTCCAATCACTGTCAAATTGCTTGTGGTTCTTATGCCACTATTCTCATCTCCACCTCTGGCCTTCACTATAGCCCCTTCTTGAATAGCACCTCCTCTGGGAAGCCTTCCCTGGCCACTCTGTAATACCCTTTGCTATCTTTGTCCATAATATGGTATTTCATAGTTATTTATTCATGGTTGTATCCACTTTCCCCACAGACTATAAACACTTTGGGGCGGGAATATGTATTATTCAACTTTGGATAACCAGCTCCTAATACTGAAGTAAGCACAATGGAGACACACAATATGGGTTTGTGGAATAAAAATGAAAGTTCTGAAAAGTACCAGATTCTATGACACCAGATCTGATGGTAGTGCCAATAATAATTAGCTTTTATTGAGAGCTAAACATATACTACATGCTTTTCATCATTTGTGCCATTTAATCCTCACAAACACACTAGGAGATAGGCATTGTCTTCATTTTTCAGAAGAAAAACCAGAGGATTTAAGCAACTTTTCCAGAGCCACAAAATGAAATGTTGAAGCTGGGACTTGAGTCTAGATCTGAGTGAAACCTTCGTTTTTTGTCAGGAGTACTGATGCCACAACACCAGCACTGTTGCCAAATTATAAAAGAAATAAAACCATTGGGAATGGAGCTCAGTGATAGAGGGCTTGCCTAGCATGTGCAAAGTCCTGGGCTTGCTACCCAGCACTGCAAAAATAATAACAACAATAAYAATAAAATAAAACCACTAACATACCAGAAGAAAATATAGATTATTTCACTAATTTTAGGGTAGAGAAGACCTTTGCCCTTGTAGAGAAAAAGAGAAGAAACTCTAAATAGGTTTTAAAAACCTATCACAAACTGAGCAAATAATTAATATTCTTGATACAGAAAATGTACTTCCAAATCAACCAGAAAAACATGAACAATTCAATTCAAAATTGAATATACCCAGATTATCTATAGGAAAAATACAAATAGCAATTTAAGGTCTGAAAAGACCTCAACCTTAGAATAATCATAGAAATTCAAATTGAAATGAGATTTTTTTTTTTCAGTGCTGGGAATCAAACCCAGAGCCTTGGGTATGCTAAGCAAGCACTCTATTACTGAACAACATCCTCAAATGCAGACATATCAGTTTTTGATGGTTAAAAGAATGTTTTGTTTTTTAATTTGTATAAGGATTTTAAGAACTTTAACATGTATTACTTTATTCCATTTGTGCTAAAATAATAACTTACCATTTTCTACCTAATTAAATTTACAAGGAAATGAATGCCCGTGTGTGTGTGTGTGTGTGTGTGTGAGTGTGTGTGTGTGTGTGTGAGTGTGTGTGTGTGTGTGTGTGTGTGTGAGAGAGAGAGAGAGAGAGAGAGAGAGAGAGAGAGAGAGNGAGAGAGAGAGAGAGAGAGAGAGAGAGAGAGAGAGAGACTAGGGATTGAACCCAGGGTCTTCTACATGTTAGATAAGCACTGTTTATTTATTTGTTTATTTTTTAGCTATTGATGGACCTTTGTTTTATTCATTTACATGTGGTGCTGACATTCGAACCCAGTTCTTCACACATGGTAGGCAAGTACTCTGCCACTGAGCCACAACCCCAGCCCCAGGCAAGCACTGTTTTTAATATTATTTTAGACAGGGTCTTGCTGAATTGCTAAATATGGCTTCCAACTTATGATCCTCCTGCCTGAGCCTCCCAAGGAGCTGGGATTATAGGTTTGTGCCATGAAACCTGACCATGCTTATTCCTTTAATTTGTGACTACAAACCCATACAGCTATTTTGGAGGGCAATTTGGAAGAAGTATAGAAACTTCTAATTTTCTTACACTATAACTCAACAGCTCCCTCCTAGGAATATWTTCTACAAAAAAATGTATACTCATGCAATAAGAAATGTGGATACATTTTATTTTATCAGAAGCAACTCAGCTGTCCATTGGCAATGGGCATGGTATAAAATAACCTGTCGTATTTCCACATGATGGAATTCCACCTGGTCATATTTTATGAAAGGAGGTAGCTTTACATTTACTGACTTCGGAAGTTATAGAGAATATCTTGATAAGTGTGAAAGCAAGTTGCAGGGCTGGGAGTGTAGCTCAGTGATAGAGCCCATGCTTACTACTTACAAGGGCCTGAGTTCAATGGCTCTGCAAAAAAAAAAAAAAAAAAAAAAAAAGCAAGTTGCAAAATAGTATGCTTAGCATGTTTTAAAACATATATTTACATGTGTACAAAAAAAAGAAATCTGAAGCCCGGGCAGTGGTACATGCTTGTAATCCCAGTGGCTTGGGAGGCTGAGGCAGGAGGATCGAGAGTTCAAATCCAGCCTCAGTGAAAAGCAAGGCACTAAGCAACTCAGTGAGACCCTGTCTCTAACTAAAATACATCCTCACATCCTATTTAGGGCTGGGGATGTGGCTCAGTGGTTGAGTGCTCCCTGAGTTCAATCCTGGGTACCAAAAAAAAAAAAAAAAAAAGAAAAAGAAAAAAGAAATCAGAGTATCTCAACTGTAAGATTCTCTGCACACTGGGATAGAAAGGGACACCCCTCCCCTAACTTCTTTTCTTTTTATTTCTTTATTTATGCAGACTAAAGATCAAACCCAGTGCCTCACACATGCTAGGCAAGTACTCTGCCACTGAGCTACAGACTCAGCCCTCCCCCTTCTTTTCTGACTAGGTAATATAACAGCCAAATTCAAATAAGACCAACAAGCACTCAGTGAAAAATAAGTCTGACCTCTGTCTTATCCCCAGACTGCCTCTAGGGAAAAAGGGAAATCTTCGTTTTACTTTATACATGTTTGTAATGTTATAGCTTTTTATTTCATTTATTTTTATTTTTCATATGAGCTCTCTTTTTATTGCCTAGGATGGTCTCAAACTTGTGGGCTCAAGTGATCCTTCCCCCTCGACCTTCTGAGTAATGGACTACAGGCACTTGTCACTGCCCCAGCTAGCACTTTTTATTTTTTAACAAAGAACCAAATTACCTTTCATAATTTTTATTTTTTATTTTTTTTAAAGAGAGTGGAGAGAGAGAGAGAGAGAGAGAGAGAGAGAGAGAGAGAGAGAGAGAGAATTTTTTTTTAATATTTATTTTTCAGTTCTTGGCAGATACAACATCTTTGTATGTGGTGCTGAGGATGGAACCCGGGCCGCACGCATGCCAGGCGAGTGTGCTACCGCTTGAGCCACATCCCCAGCCCAATAATTTTTAAAATATATATACATATTTGGTTGTCAATGAACCTTTATTTTATTTACTTATTTATATGTGGTACTGAGAATCRAACCCAGTGCCAAACATATGCCAGATAAGCACTCTACCACTGAGCCACAACCCCAGCCCCTCATAATTTTTTTAATAACTTTATTTTATTTATTTACTTATTTTTGTGCCGTGCTATGAATCGAACCCAGTGCCTT